CCCATAACTTTCCTCACCAATGAGTGTCAGTCAAGGCAGGCATCCCACGTCAAAGGAATCACTGTTTTCACACCATTTCAAGTTGAAACATGGTCTGCTCGTGTTCTTCCACTCTAAGTGGGGCTTTACAGAATTCAATGATGCATACCATAAGCCAAATTTTTTCAGGGACGCAACTCTGCCTATCCTCTGGGAATTGCATACAGGAATCACAAGGCAGTGTTCCGCCCTGAGCTTGGCTCCAGCTACACAGGAGAGAGTCCCAAGAAGTGTGTATGACTAGGCATATAAATTATGCATCCAAGCTGACCTACCCATTAATTTATAAAGCAACATTTCCAAAGGCAGACAGGGAGGCATTGCTGATTGCTGCCATGAAGCTAAAATAGTTCAGCAAAGACATAGCATGTGCCAGTAAGCCACATGCACTCATGCTGAGGTCCCAAGATACATGTGATTACTCCAAAACCACTGTCTCTAAAAATCCCTGGGACACAGAACAGGAAATACTGCTTTCTGATTGCCCACCAAAGGAGTCCGCAAAAGGTAAAGGAAAGGATTCTTTACCCCATGCCTTAGCAGCACTTCTGGGGCAATAATTAAGATTAATCAACAATGCTGTCAATTTCACTTTCTATTCTAGCAAATATTTTTCTATCATAAGATGATGTGTCAGTAAAACCTAATTAACTGTAATGTCTGCTGCAGGAGACCCCAGAAATATCCAGAAACTGGCAAAGTCCTCAGAAAAAACAGAAAATCGATGCAAGCTTTTGTGCTTATAAAGAATAAAAGCTTGATGAATTATAACCCAGAAGTAAATGCTATTGTTTTTAATATTTTAGTGTTTATATTTTGATTTTTCTATTCATACACTCAAATATAAATAGGCAAACACCTCTGAAAGAAAAACATAGAAAATAAATAACCTGAGAGGAAGATAAAGAAGGAAGCATTGGTTTCACCACAATATTCCTTAGAATCCCAATAATACAAGTTTCTTAGCATAGCTATTACAGATACATTGCATGTGGTCACTGCTTTATCAGGTATGCAATACATTCTAAGTACACATGCATTTGAGAGAAGTACTCACAAAATACATTGTGTAATCCTGTCCTTAAATCTGGGCCACATTATGAGAGTGCTTTGAGTTATTTATGGCTATGAGGAGAAATTGTGCAAAACTTGCGGCTTTGCCAGATAGCTGATCAAAACTGAAGCCTCTGCTCCAGGAGAGCATCTTACAGACTGACACAAAGCAAAATGTTCTCATAAGCACCCTGAGCGCTCACCTCTGCCATGCCAGAATTTGCTGAGAGGTAGGAATACGTCCGCATGTTCATGCACAGCAATCTACATGTTTGCAGAGGTGATACCAATAGTGCTGGGGTATTCTTATGCAAGGGAGGAGCCTGCTGCTCAGGGACTATCAGCATCGTATTAAATCATCGGCTTTAGGGGTGAGACCTGTCAAGTTTAACAATGAGAACTGCAAACTTCTCCTTCCGAGGAGATGCATGATGTTCTAGCAGCATTGCCCGCATTGTTTCCCATCTTCCCTAGAGCTGTTTCTTTATTGTACTGCGACTCAGACCCACATTCAGTGCTTTTGGAGCGGTTGGCCCTTGCCAATCTGGTAGTCTGAGTTAATGGTTTCATATTGTTACAATTGTCTCAGTGGCCGAGTCCTCCTCAGCAGTGCGAGGAGGGTGGCTCCCGTTAGGCTGCGGATAATTAACTGTGTGACTGTGATATGTGCAAAATGCACAGAACGCAGGATGGAGGGTGGGATAGCCCAGTGGCTTCTAGCAATGAAACCGAAAACAAAGCACTGCAAAAGTTCTCCAAAACTGCAGAAATAACGCCGCAATAAATTAATCTTTCCAGTCATTACATCCACAAGTGTGGAACAGTCTGAGAGATGCCAGATCCTTCCTCTACAAGAAATGCTGAATTCTGATAACCATAGAGTGATCCCTCATTTCTTCAATGTGCAAAGCTGTGAAACCCCAAGGGTTATTTTTTTGCCTTTCATTTCTCTGCTGACAAGTGGCATGGGAAGTGTAGAAAGAGTTTAAAAATTTAGCTTTGAGAAAACATATTCCCAGTGGGACCTACTTTATACACTGATTTCAATGGAAAACTATTTTCCTAAAGAGTTTTTTTTTTTTTTAAATCCCCTTTTCCAGCTTGCTTCGTTAAACCAAATGTTTTACATAATATTAGAAATCAACTCCCACCCCTCACTTATTCCCTCCCTCTCTGTCTGTCTCTCTGCGGAATAGACAAATCAATGGAGAAATGTTCAAGCCTTTGTTAAAATGAAAGAATGGAAAATTAAAGGAGGTTGTTCAGTGTAACAGTCACATAAAAAATGTACAGCCTGTGGTTCTTGACTCTCTTTGACTGTAGGACTGTTGCTCGTTTCTCTCCAGCTGCCTGTGGTAAAGGTACATATGTGGTCTGTATATAATTATATAAGGGTGTACAGGCAAACCCCTGCACAGTCAGGATGATGTGAGGTTTCTCTATACACTCATTATGTTCCTGAACTTTGAGATTTTTGTAGACAAAATAAGATTTCTTTCATTAAAATGGGATTTATTTGTGGTTCAATAGCCTGAGGCTGCAGAAAAACAGGGCATTTCACCATTGTGTCATTGAACACTGAACTCTTGCCTTTTAATTATATAGGTTTCTGACACCCAACCAGACTTTTTTTTTCCCCCCTCTTCCCTTGAAGGAAGATGACGCAATTGTGACATAGCCAGGCCCCAAATAAGACATTCCAAACCCATATGGACACAGTATAAACATTCAGATGCAGACAGCCTTGCTTTAGTATTGCGGCAGGAGCCACTTGATTTGAACCACACTTTTCACAGGGCTTTGCTGGTCCCCAAATGAGAAATGATTGATCCAAATGGAGTAACATAAGGATTCTCTCATGCAAGGAAGAGCCACGTGGAGGCTTCTTCCAAGCAGATGGACCAGTTGAATAGTCAGTGGTTTCCCTGGTGAGAAGTGAAAGTAGAGCAGGTTTTTCCTTTTTCCTTCCCCCCCCTCCGGTTCCTGTGAATTCTTACCCCCATCATATAAGAAAATTAGGTATTTCTTACATTAAAGTGAGTGAAAGAAAGTGTTCTTAATTATGCAAAGGTAATTTCATCTGATGAACAGGTCAAATAAAAAAAAAACAAACACAATCCAGCTTCACATACATCAAGGAAATATTCAGTCTGATAATTCAACTGAGAAGCGTTGAACTGTCCCAAGTCCTATTAAAATTCACTTAGTGCTGCTGGTATTCAACACCTCTAGAGCTCAGGCCATCTGGGTACTTCCACATCTGTGATCCTGGCTTCCCAAAGAGGAGGAAAAAAACACACAAAAAACCCACTGATAGTATAAATCTAACACCTAAGTCTAGAGGTTATGAAGTCAGACAGCCTTACAAAAAAACACACCACAAAACAAAACCAAGAAGATCACTGGTGTCTGCTCAGACCAGAGACTGATGCTTTCAGTAATCTATTTCACATAGCAGTTTAGAAACTAACGGTTAAGAAAAGAACTGTAAACGATTCCAAAGTGAAAATGTAGGAAATACATAAGTGTTTGTATAGATATGTGTCTATATCTTCTGCTTTTCTTCTGTGATGCAAGAAATCAATTTTCGAGAGAAATGCAGAACTAAAATCCCTTCCAAAGTTAATATCCCAGTACAGTTCTATGATTAAAAAAAAAAAACCTCATTTCATTGACTTCACATCTGCAATGAATTTTATAAAATTATACGTAGTAGAAAAACCAACGTTTTCAGGCACAATTTCATAACAATTTTCTGTTTGAAATAACTTCATGAAAAATATTAGCTATTCGACTCTTCTTGTAATCATATCTTCAACATCAAGGATCATGTCACTGTTGGAGAAAGAATGAATTGGCTATGCCCTGTTTCATTGTGCATACATAGTAACTTCTTACAAACATAGCTGTATTTCATGTTGGGTAGAGTTTTCCTTATGATCTACTCACATACTTCAAATAAGAAGACTTAATCTCTACAGGAAATGATATTTTAATCCAACTGAAAGTCAAGACGGGACACCTAGTTCTCAGTTGCCAGGCTTTCATCACATGCCATTATTGTCTCATTGATTGAATGAAATATTTGCGACCAAAAGAATGTCTCAGACCTCCCTTGGACCTGGTTCAATACTTCCCTTTAGATCAGGCAGGCTTCTTATAAGGCTTGCATTCTTCCAGAAATAGCCCAGCAAACACAAACTCAGAATAAAACGATCAATGAAGTGATATAGTCTTTATTTGAGCGACTGCAGACAAGACTTTCGGTATTTCCCAACAGAGGACAAAGAACTTCTGCACTATCACAAGGTCTCTAAACAAGTTAGATTAAAAAAAGTTAAGCATTATGCAGACAGGAGATGGACTGAAGGATCTGTATAATCTCCCACATGCAATAGTTACACGTTTTTAGAACAGCTTTCCCACCCAAATGGTGCCTGGTGAGGCATGCATTCACGCTATAGGCTCAGGAATTTGCCACAGATCTCCTGATGTGTTATGCACTGATCCTTATGTTTCCCTACAAATCATTATCATCTTCCCAACACAAACAGACACAGAGGAGATTCGGACATTATTTCTGCATGAGGCAGGTCGTATTGGGTGGGGTGAAAGTGCAGTGTGAAGCGCACCATGAAAACCCATCACAGCTCTTTGCTCTGGATTGAGAGTGTTTTGGATGAGTCAGAGGGCAAAGAAAAGGTTTTCTGCATTTCAAGGTGATTGTGTAGTGCCAAGGAAAACTCAAGATAACGAGCAGTAGGCACCCTGAGAAGCTTTACAGGGGGAGATGCTAAAATCCTTTGCTGCCCTCAGACTCTTTGCCCTTTGTATTGTTGGTTTTTTTTTTTCCTAGCATCTTCTTCATAAAATATCAGCAGCAGCAATTGAGTTAAAGCTTGGCTGAATTATCCCTTTCATAAGTCTGTCTTCATGCTTTTTTTTTTTTTTTTAAAGTAAAGGTTCCGTTTATTAATTTTACCCAGCTAGCATTCACTTAGCATTTGCTTTGAAGGATAATTGACAGGTTGAGGCGACACTCGCCAGAATGAGAGACATAAATCAGAAATAATTTCCAAAATTGGCTGAGGGGCTGATATGTTGAATAGGCAAATACAGGTAAAAATCTCTCTATTAGGCCTGAAAGGAGTAGCAAATGTCAAGCAAGTGCTATCTAATGCACCAGCTTAGATTAATTTTGTGGTCTCTTCTTTGGTCGATTTTGTCTTTGAAATGCTACTGTGCTCTGGAAATGCTGCCAGACAGCTCTCCTGAACACAAGGAGTTCCTTCTTAAGATTTCTTCTTAATTGAGGATAACTTCAAATTTCTGTGGAAATTAAGGTGACTTTTAAAATTCTAACTTGCCTTAAAAATACATCCCAACTAAAAAATTGTTTAAAAAAAAAAAAAAATAGAAGACTGCACCATTTGTCATGAGGAAGTTGGAACTGCTTGGTCGTTTGGGGGCAACTCAATAGCTCTAACGCCCAGAGTCTGTAGAGCCTCTAATTCAAATTTTGTGCTTTTCAATCACTAGCAGCAAAGGTCAAACCAATCAGATTGATGAAAATCAAAGTAGTTCGGGTCACTTTGCCTGAAAGTTTTTCCATGACTTCCTGTTAAATAAGAGGTGCGTTTCCTCCAGGCCTGAAAGCAGACACGCATACAAAAAACACACTGCAAAAATGGCCAAAATTCAGTCCCAGAATAAAACTGTGAAAATTCACAGTTCCTTCCACTAAGCAATTATTTCAGTTTTCGCCAAAAGGAATGGTGAGATTTTAGCATCAGGTTTTTTTGTTTGCAACATAAATACTTGTAAAGCAAAAAAACTGGTAGCTTTGCAAACTCTAGATGTATTTAAGGATCTTCTGTGAAATATGATGGATGAGGGGGAAGAAAAAGAACAGCTCTTGTCATGGGAATCCAGAAAGAGAAAGTTCTCTGTGCACCCCATGTCTCAAAACCTTGAAAGATAACAAGGTTAGGGTCATGATACAAGATGGATTGCTGCTGGTAGTGATGGCTGAAACGCATAGAGAAGTGTGGGTTGGTAATCAGACTGACAGATTGCAATATTTCCCACTACTCCGAATTTACTTCTTCCTTGAAGTCATAAACAGGTCAGCATTCCTTTACCCTAAATCTTGCATTTGACTTGCTCTGCCAGAATCCAAGGGTAAGTTTAGCATTGGGTTGCACCTAAGCTTGGGCACAAAGTCTATTTTCATAAGACCACCTATGCATCTACTCTGTATTTTGCTGGATTAGAAAGAAGGAAGGCTGCTTCCCCAAGGCTTCACACTTACATTGTAAGCAACTTAGGATGTCTCTTAGGATACACAGGGACAACTGTTCTTACATACTTGAAATCCTGCTGTATAAACAGCCTGACAAGAAAAAGAGGATACAGCTTGCTTCATCTAGCAAAATGCTGCCTGAGAAAGTGTATTAATTATTAATACAGTACTCTATTAATACAACGGGAAGAAGTTGATATGAGAGCAAAAACTTTATGCACTACACTGACACAAGAAAAAGTATTTTAGCCTAACTTCATGCACCCTAAGGCTTGAAATTAGAGTAAAGTTCCTAATTATTAGAAAAGAGATGTTCTTGAAACAATTTTCTTATAAAGGAATGGAGAAGCAAACTCCTAAAACAGTTTTAAAAAATGATTAATCCATTAATTTTATTATCGTGCACTGAAGCTGCCTCCAGCAGCTGTAAATTGTATTTAACCAAAGCACTCCTTGCACAGACATATTGTGTAATATCTATGTATAAAAGAAGGGAAACAAACATATACCACAAAAGTTTACTTAGGTTAGCAAAGGAGAGGCGATTCAACATATGACACTTGTTACTCTAGTTTCTTTGGACTTATAGGAGGTATTTCAACAGCTCAGCTTGAAGTAACAAGCATGAGGAAGAAAATGGCTAAATCTGCACAAGGCAGTGTGATGGTACTATGTTTTGAAAGTCTTATGCTTATTAGACTTTTACTTGCATTTAAATATACAATAAACTTAGCTACATATTTATCATGTACACAGATCCCATTCACCGACACCTAACAACTCCTTTATGAAGAACTCATCACACTGAGGATTGAGAGCAACTTCCATATCAAACCTGGTACTAATTAAACCAGACTAAGTCTAGGATCAGAAGCAGTCTCACCTAGGAGTACATTTCCTATCACAGGCACCTATGGTTTCATGGGCCACAGGCATTGCATGAAGCTCACAGCCTTCAGATCTGACAGCCTCTTCCTAGAAAAAATAAAATCTCAGATGCGGGAAAGGACTTATTGGAAGATTTCTCTGAAGTTCACTCAATGGGATTATTTTTCCTTCCCTCTTCCCCTCTCAAATGAGAGAAATAAATATTTATGATTACTGTATTATTATATAAGTTTGGTCTGCTCCAGTCTGAACACCCACCGTGTCTATTTCTAAACCATTTGCCCTTCCCTAATTCTTACAAACCACTTTACAACTCAAATCTAATCAATAACAACTGTGTGAAACAGCACTCAGACAGTAAAGAAGTTGGAATTCCCCTTAATAGCCCTTTAAAGGAGTTTTAATTAATTCCATGCGCTTCTGTAGGATTATCAACTTTACAGTATGACTGCATGTGAAAGCTTTAAGACATTTCACTTATGTCTGCAGGATGTTATGCTACAAAAACTGGTTTTCATGGCTTGTCACTGCTTACCATTAGGCTTCTTGATTAACCCTGAAATCCCACTTCTCCTTCCCTCTCCACTTTACTAGCTGTCTGCGTTTCTCCCTCTGGTCACTCTTACTTCCCTTCTCCTAGAGCTTTATCCAGCTCTTTGTAAAAGAAATAGAAGGGTTTCCACAGACAGCACCAGGAGCTTGGCAGGACCATTCCCTTCCTTCTGCTTACTCCTCAAAGAAGCAATTGAGCTGATGCTGTGCAACAACTGTATTGCACAGCTCCAGTTAGAAGTCAGCAATTCTTTTTTCATATCCAGATGCCTGGGTTTCTAATACATGCAATGCATCTGTTCTCTTTTATCACTCTCAACACCTCTGAACTCCTGCCTCTCTTTTCAGTCCTCACGTTCTCTCCATTCCTTCAATTACTTAACTTACGCCCCCTTTCTAGGATCTACTGTACCTGACTTCCTGCACCTTTTCTCCCTCGCCTTCTTCTAGCTCTTAGTATTGCCGAGCAATTAATTTCATTTTCATTAATCACACAAGACACGCGCTAATTATTGCTCTGACGAGAAGATCTGAAATAGCATCAGTGATGAAAAAGAGAAAAAAATGAGAGAGAGAAAAGATTTGCTTTTTTTTTTTCCCCCCCTTCCTCATCATATTTACAACCAGTGATTTTTCTTAATGAGCTTATGGGAGGAAGGCAAATGATGTTAGTGCAGGAAGCCCGAGTGCAGTGTGTAGTTAGAGGCTAGAGTTCATGAGCTGTCCAGAGCATGTTTTATCAGGTCACCGAGTCAGCCGCACTACAGGGCAATTTCTCTTTCTCAGCATTAACCCTCAACTCTGAGTCCCTGCTGGAAAGGCCTCCCCCTTCACAAACACTCCAGGATAAGATGATAAGAAGATTACAAGTAAAGCCTCTCTTTAGCAATTCCACATCTCCTGTCAGACACAGCAAGTTAAATTACAGTGCAGGCTGCAAATGCATTGATCATCCACTCAGCTCCTACAACCCAGGGGTGAAAAGATCCATGCCGAGGATAAGTGAAGTAATTTCAGGAAAGTTTATTTTAGCTGGGAGGGGTTAAACAAGTTCAACAAGGCAAGGCTTAGGGAGGGCGCTGGAGCCAAGTTCAGCAATGTCTTGTTTGTGCAGGTACAGGCTGCGGGTTACACATGCCACAGGTGTTTGGGTCTCCTCTGGCATGCTCGCATCGTGCCATGCAAGCCACAGAACCTCAGTGATGATGAAAAGCTCTCCCGTCACTCCAATAAAAGGCTCCACACCTTTGCCATAACCAGAGAACCTCTGATAGAGTAACCAGCGCTTTATTACAGTAAACGTCTGCTGCTGAATCAGAAGAGGACTTTTTATATTCACAAGAGCTCCCCTTTTTAAGTAGGTGGCAATAGTATTCATTTTACCTATAAAAACTATAGTGTTTTATGACAGAAGGAATAAACCTCCCTAAGCAGTTTTGATAGAGAAGGCACGATTGTCCATTTTAAAGATTAAAAGAAAAAGATTATAAATCATTGGGAGTGCTTATGAATTCTATTCATGACTGCCTTCTTTATTAAAGAGACCCATTGTAAAACGGAAAGTTCAGAAGGCTTGGTGGTGAGCAAAAATGAATTATAATGACATCACTGGGTCATGAACTAGGCCCACTGGCTACTTTCCAGAATAAAATTGACTAGAGAGATCAGATGAGCCCATTTGTACTGAGAGACATCTGGGTGGCAGCCAGAGAATCTGGGTTCAAGCTCCCTATTTACAGAACATGCTTCCCTTTCCCCTTTCACTACCAGGAGTAATTTGGATTTCCCAAGCACAATGTGTGGGATAACAATGTCACTCCATTCAGATTCCAGGAGAATTTTCACCCAGAAAATTTCATTATACTCCTCACTTGGTGAAAGGCCTTGTGAAAAAAACTAACATGTCAACATCTGGCTGAGGTGCATAGTGCATTCTCATTACGCTGCTGATGGGAAGATTTTATGTTCAAATAAGCAAAACTTGTAAAACTTTTTCATCATATTTTCCTCCTTGTCTCCTTCTGAGATAATAAACAGTGCCTGGAACCCAAGAGAAACTCATTTTTTGCCAAGAAATCATTTATAAACCTTTAAGAGCACCTGCTGAAAACACTAGGGGAAGCATCTTCCCCTTTCTTTCATTTTAACTTTTTCAGCTGTCTTTCTAAATGCAAAATGACACCCCATTCAATGCTTCCTGGCGTCATCTCCACCTTCCCTGTTCTACAATTTACACTTCTTTTGGTATTGCTTGAGACTTCTAGGAAGCTTTTACCTAATACTGTAATACCTATTATCCGAAACATTTAGGTGCACTTGTAATTGCCAAAGAGCAATTGGATGTGAGCAGTCCAATAAGGTGGAATGGCATATATTCAGGAGAAGAAAAGATGTCTGACCATCTGACCTTAGCAATGGCACCATCTCAATATTAATATATTTTATGCATGCATGTGATAATGTTTTACCTTCCTTATGATCCTGCAGGGAAGTTTCTCTTCTCCCCATTGAGGATTATTACCTATTCAGAGGTGGTTATGATTATAGATACTTACGAAGACAAGAATAATTGACCATAAAAAACCTTTTATATTCCCACAATTATTTTTGCATTGACTAAAAATGTCAAGAAAATCTAGTTCTATTAGCAGGTCCTTAATTTTGCTTCCACTTAACTTATAACTAGATTTCCTTTCCCACCCAAAGCATGTTTTCACTTAGCTGTGCTTGGCAATAGCACAGAAAAATGATTTGCCACAAGATACCAACTGGGAGTAGATAGATCAAATCTCAAAGCAGATACACCTGCAAGGGAGAGAAGGGGCTCGAGGAAGATATCAAGACCTCATACATGAAGGAGCACAGGAAGGCATCTTTAAGAAAGTTTCAGAACAATCATAAACAAGCGCACATGAAAACAGTAGCCTAATAGAGACGAAGCTAATAAAAAGTTAAATTCCATGACAGCTTTGTAGCACAGGAACTGAAAAACAAGTTCTGTTTACATATCAGACATTCACATAATTCCTCAGCAAAAACAGAGCACTAAAAACCAATGAGTCCACAGGAGAAGCACAACAACAAGAGACAGCAGATACAGCTACTTTAAACCAGTTTTGAATCTCCCAAAAAAAAGCAGCAGTAGCAATCTGATAACAAAGAAAGAAATCACTTACCCTTTTCCAGGGATCAAGGCTCACCAAATGCTCCAAACAAGGTGATCTCCAAGTAGAAAAGCTTCCCTTGTGGCTGCCAGCCCTTAAATGAGGTAGATTGCTTCCACCTGTGCTCCCAGGGCTGGTTACACCCCTCCACCAGGTGCTCAATCAATGGTTCAGGCCATGACCTAACAGTTCCCATACAAGACATTAACTAAACTAACATTAACAGCAACTATATATGAGTGGTCAGTAATAAATTTGAGAAGTGTGACAGCAAAATGGCAGATTCTCAAGTACAAGTCTTAGTATCATAGAATCACTAAGGCTGGAAAAGACCTACAAGATCATCCAATCCAACCACCTGCCTATCACCATTAGTTCTCACTAAACCGTGTCTCAGTGCAGCGTCTAAATGCTGAACACCTGCAGGGTCAGTGATTCCATCACCCCCCTGGGCAGCCCATTCCAGCACCTGGCCACTCTTTTGGAAAAACAGTATTTCCTAACGTCCAACCTGAATCTCCCCATAGGTGAGTTAACAGTGTTCTTCTAACAGATTTTTATTTAAAAAATAATAATTAAAAAAAGAAAACAACAAAAACAAACAAACAAACAAACAAGCCAACACCCAAATCAAAGCAAAACATTCTATCCTTGCAGTAAGTTGGAGATGGTAACCGATAGCCAGACCCCGCTGGGTCCTATCTTAGTTTGAGAGAACATTCTGGCAACTCACTAAAAGAGAAAGAAGCCTGGGCAGAATCTCCAAGCTGCGTTTGTTGTGAGAAGCACTTTATCCTTCAAATCAGCTTGAATATTTTCTGAAATCCATATCTCAAAGAATGTGATTTTTAAAGTCACTCAAATCTCTGAAAAAAAAGTGTAGCTCATTAAGGTCCTTTTGAAAATCCGGTCCAAAGAGAGGACTCTCTGAAAATACACTCTATTGTGCAGATTAGACTGCAGCCTATGACTCGTTACACGAAGGCCCATAAAAATTTAACAGTAAGAAATCCTTATTTGCCAGGATCTTGATAAATGACTGGCCTAACCTCTGTAGAGCTTCACAGAGGCTCTGAAAGCAATCTACATAAGCATTTCCACACTAATGGCAGTACAGAAGTACCCGATCTGGCTCCAGTAGAAAGCAAGTGTGGCTTTCTCCTAATCTCGGCCTGAGGTTTGGTCCAAGTACTTCTCTCTATCCGATATCTACTGAGCTTACCATAGAAGCTACTCTATACTATCCATTCACTTTTTACTTGAATAGAAGATATTAGGACATGGCTTGACACTTGCACAACTAACTGGAAACACTTCAATAAAATATGCTTTTCAAAGCCAAAATGATTTGTGGAAAAACTTTACTTACTCCTAAATCAACCACTGTAACATTCCCTGCCTTGGAATTTGGTTCACTTTCTGCCTCTGCTATAGGTTCACTGTGCCAAACTCCATTACTATCTCTACACTTCGTCTGCTCTTTCCTTTAAAATTTATAGTCCTCAAAGACAGACCATTCAAATTTCTTAAGCTTCTGTTATTTTATGAGTCACTGCAGAAATACTTGTAAGCTCAGGATGCTCCATGGTCCAGCACAAGGCTGAAAACTGACTTCCAGCTGCTGTGCTTGCTCGGTGCAACTAGGCACATACCCTTGACTCTTCCTAAGGTCAAACTTGAAAATTTGCCAATCGTCTGGAAAAAGAGACCGGTCTTGAAGTTACCCTTGGACAGGTCCTTGAGATAAAGAGCAGGTGTACTCTGGGCCTTTGTAAAAGAGATAAATATCCCTTTTCTAATTTCCAAGATATGTTGCTCCCAGCTAAGAAAATGCAGCTGCTGAAGTTGCAAAAAATAAAAAAATAAAAATTTGCTATCTCTTACCATTCAGGGATATAGTGAGAGTCATTTTTTAGAGCTACTGTCTATAGGGTTTTATTTTCCTAAAACATTTATAAAGCTAATTTGTATATTTTCTTCATCAAGAGCATAAAACAATGTGACAGAAGAATTCCTTCCTATTAGATTATATCCATGAATGAAAGTTTAATTGTTTTGTTTAAAACTATTTAAGGAAACCTGCACATGAATAGGAAGTCTGGCTTTTAAGAAACTCAGTCATAAATATAAACAAAAACGTGATGCCAAATAGCAATTACTACTTTGTTTCTTTTTTGAATGACAGCATATCTTAAACTCATTCATTTCCAGTTCTGACTTGCTGCAACGTGTAAAAATACTACTGCAAATCCACTAAATAACCTTTGTCTTTCTCTCTTGAACTTCTTTGGTTTTTGCTGACTTTCCATGCTCTGTTTTCCCTTTATCTTGTGAGGCACAAAGGTCTCCACCTCTTTTTTAACTTTGTTTGGAACAGCAATTATTCATAACTGCCTTACCTGGAAACGTTTCAGAGATAGAGACAGAGATTGTGCTCACCAGTGGGAGTGCTAACAAACTGACTGACGGTGTTTTAAATGCTGTGGCATGTAGAGTCAATGCAGATCTAGATGGTTCTAATTGCTTGCAGTTGTTGAGTGACTGTCAAAACCATTTATTCTTACCACTGATGGTAAATTTTCAGGGAAATGTCACTGCAGACAAGGAGGTAGATTTTTCAAAAGCACAAATGGTAGTCAGGCATCTCACTGCCATTTGCTTCTTTGAAAATCTTGCCCAGCTCTTTAGACAAGTTGCCTGGCAAACAGATGTGCAAGGATGGATTGGACATTTAGGTATCAACACCATCTTTGAACTTCTTGGATGAAGAGTCTGCCAACAATTTTTTGGCCTTTCCTCTAACACTTAATGTCTTCTAAGATGAAACACCAGCAAGTTCTTTAAGCTCATGTTATTTTAAATACAGGCCAAGACCTTTAACGAATTTGCTTAGTGGTGGCAGAGGAGGAAGAAAGATTTGGTCCTAAGTGTTGTTCAATAGCATGTCTTGGTTTTCACTGGATGGTAGCCAGGACTGATATTTAAGAGGTGTTTTGCTGATGGACTATCCTACCTCAGTGACAATAACAGAGTAACACAGTCCCCGGCAGCCTATCCATCTTGCTAAATCTAAGAATAGATTCATAAAATCAGAGAAAAATCACAGAAGACACTGCAAGAATTTAACTCACCATTATTAAAAGCAAAAGGAATATAATCCTCTTCTAGAGCATAGATTCTCACACTCTGGGGGCAAACAGAGCAGTGTCAGCACTCCAGATTTGTCATGAACCACCAAGCATACTTAATCAAGCTTTTAATTGAAAAAACACCACAAAGATAATAGAAGTTTGAGCACAAAGATAATAGCACTTTGAAGGCCACCTGCCATAATCTCACAGACCACTGATTGCCCTCGAATTTGAAAGTATTTTTAATAAAGTTTCTCAAACTGTCTGAGCAGCACCATAAAATAAAATATGTCATGAATCAGTGAAATACTTGAGAAAATTCATTGGCTTTTTAGCTTCTAATATTATTTTAAAGGCCTGTATGGACTAACAAAGGGGTTTTGGTTTATCTGTTCTTAGCTGAAGCCCAGAATTGCTGTTGGGACTTAGGACGGTATCTAGGAGGAAAATAAAATAAAGAAGCTGAGAAACTTCCAAAACAGTTGTCAAATAATGTTGCAGTACTAGAAATGTGACATGGTGATCAGATGATTAGAAAATCGATTGAGAGAGCAAAATTCAATTCATTTATGATTTTGTAGTTCACTATATAAATTGAATTTTGAAGATTAAAAAAAAGCTTAAGATCTAGCTAATGGAAAGATAGCTGGAATATTTTAGTCTACATTTTCTTTGGAATTAAATAACACATCCTTGCTAGAACAATAACATTTGAATTTTTCATGTTATTCTCACAATATCTGACTAAAGCTTCACTGATCGCTGATGGGCTTTTTGATGTCATGAATAAAATCTCCCAATTTCACTGCAATTTAAATTGAGCATCTATAAAGTAAGTCTCAATTTCAGCCAGTATTTTTGGTTAATAAAAAGCTCAAAACAAAATCATATAAATTTTGGTTGAAAACAAGTACGACTCAGATAAAGGAAAATAAATAGAAACCAGAAGCAACTTTGAAGTATCAACAGTGCCTAAGAAGTTGTTTGTTTTTTTTTTTATTGCTTTTCCATCATGTTTCTTTGGTGCTTTTGACAATGATACAGGGTTGATACTTTAAGGAACATGATGAGAACCTGACATAGTAGGAAAAATGGCTTAACACACCTTTCCATACCTGAAGACCTTGGTGTATACTATCCTGCTAGAAACATACTGAATTGTATGCACAGTCTCACAGGCCTACAGCATCAAAGATTCAACTGAAGGCTTCAATTAAGCAAAACTAACCCTGTTATCTATTGGTGGCCTCCACAGCACTTTCTGTGCCTTAAGACAAAGAAATAAGGAAAAACTTTAATGCTCCAGGAAAGGTGAAAAATCAGCAAGAATATGAAAGTACCAATTAATAAAAATCCTAAGCTGTCTGGTGAGACTTTAAAAATCCACTTTAACTGTCGTGAACTCCGGAGGAGGTTTTAGCTTCCACCAACTCCCTGATGCTATATTGAATTTCAGCAATGAGACAAAAAACTGAGCAAAACTTACCCTCCAGTTACTCATCTAATAAAGTCCAGCTACTTATTCTTTGGAGGCTGAGATAGCCAAATTTTTATCTGGAATAAGCATCTGAACTTCTGGGACAACCTCCAAACCTTTTATGATACCTCTAAAATACACCCTTCTTTTAATAGTCTGTGTGCTCCTTGCCAGTCTTCTACCACCAAACACAGATATTGTACATCCAGCTCTTTAAGTGTATTAAATCCCCTGGGAGACACTCATATTCGGAAATAAAGTGGCCTTGATCTGCTGTAGCTTTTTCCTCCCAGACCACTTTAGTCTCTCAAATTTGAGAGTTCACCAGTGCTTATATAAAGGCTGCATAAGTGTAACAGAGCAATAACTTATCTTCTGATTTCAGAGCTTTTTCTCCATTTTCCTAACTCTCCCAAGTGTCCCAGTACAGAAAAGTCTTTGGGAAATTAATAAAAAATAAAAGAAAGAAAGGAAAAAAGGAGAGAGACTTGAAATACCCTGAACTGCAAGAGCGGGGCTGCAAGAGACCTTTTGCCTCTGTCTCTGCCCTCATATGTTTTACAGAGAGTCTCATTCTCTTTCATGTAATTAATCCAACAAGTTTTTGAACAACTGTCTAACTTGTTCCCTGAGCCTCAGATAGAAAATTTTTATCTTTGCTAAGAACAGCATGGAAAACTTTTCCAAGTCAGTTAACAGTTTGTCTCACTGTGGGTTTTCAAAGTCTGAGTACAGATTTACAGCATGTTTTATGTATATTTTTTTAGTCCCAAGGTCCCTTCTCTTCACAGATACATACACAATGTGTCACGTAGAAAATATAAATTGTTGATTGTACAGGCACTTTCCTCCTTTTTAAACCTTTCCAAAGGTCTTTTTGTTAAATACACCCAGACACCGTTTGACAGATGAGGGGCTAATTGCTCTGTGAATTACCTCTATCGATTCCTGTTTCATGTTGAGCCAAACAAACAAAAGATATTAATGCTTCGAAAAAAATGAATGATGACCTTTCTCTGCAAACACAGCTTGCGGCCTCTGATTATTGGTGATTCCAAAGAGCAGCGGTCAATCGCAATAGCTGTAACGCTATGATCACTATAATAAGCTTGCCTGACCTTCTCTGCCATGTTAAGTGGTTTAAATTTATTTGCCCAACAACAGTGGAGCTTTCATTTAAAGTCACAGAACATTCAATTCTATCTAAAGATCCGGGCTATTTTTTCAAAGCTTTACCTGCTTTAAAAAAAAAAAAAAAAAAAAAGTGCCATGCTTGGAAATGATAATAAAAGTGGATAGAAGGCACTGCCACAAAGTTATTTGAACCTGCATAATCGAGAGTCGTTGTTATGGCTCTAACAGTGAGGATTTTTCTTGATCATTTTGCCTTCCCACTGCTCCACTTGTCATAGAAGTGCAATCTGTTTTGCACTCTCCCTTCGATGTAGTTGCAGTTGGGCACTATCTTTGCAGTTATCCCAGCTGGACTAAAAGAAAATCATTATCATTGAATGCAAATGCAGTGCTAAACTCCGGTCCCTGTAAACAAAATTTCCTGAGAAGTGGTTGATAGCAGAATTTAGCTACAAGGAAAACTCCTGCAAGTCCTTCATCAATGTTCTCTGCCTTTTCCTGGCTGAGGTTAATCTGTGAAATCAAGTGGAGGCAAACCACAGAAGATGGAGCGCTTATCTTTTTGCTGGAAGCAGTCTACAAATTTGCTGGAATATCCTTTATCTTGAGATTTCCACCTCTCTGTTTGGTTTCCTATGTACAAGAAATATGTGCAAGACAATCTTTTGTTTTGATGTCTGCAATAATATTACAGTGTATCCATAAAACGGGAATAATAATCCTTAGTCTCCTTTTTGAAATGCTTTTCTAAGTGTTGGGTACAGCAACCTCAGTAAAGTCCTTGGGAATTCAACATTCATTTTGATCACTGTTATAAGCCACTGTAGCCTGGTATCAAATGAAGGTTGAAATACAGCAACAGGAAAATATGGTCTAAATTTGTTAGAAACAAAACTACAGGATCAGAAATGATTCCTGGGGGAATGAATGCCAGCAGAATACTCACTTCTCTCAGCCTCATTTTTAAAATTCTATTTACCTGTCCTCTTTCTCTGCAAGGAAGGCAAAATCTCTATTTCTTCTGAAATTCTCTTTTTTTCCACATGTGACAACTATCAGCTCGGGATCAGGACTCAGGCCAAACTCACCCATGAGTTGTCTTGAACTCTCCTTTCTCCCCACCCATGGTGCTCAGTGAGAACCCGGATTCAGCCAGTGTCAACTCTGTGTGTCTCACTTCCAGCTTGCTTTCTAATTCCTCTCTCTGCATCCCTCAAATAAGGAAGATGCTGGGGAGAAGCAAAAAAAAGTCACTTTTAGCACTCAGCACTGCTATGAAAAAGAGACTAAGATTAAGAGGTGAAAAGGAGGCTCAGATGTACTGGCATCCTCCAAGGCAGATTTAAGGAGTGATGTAGACATGCTTAGCTGGAGGAAAACTTGGAAGTGCAATAAAGCTAAGTCAAGTGCGGGAAGGTATTACCTGCCAAAAGAAGTGGTGAATCAGGTAGGCAAACTGTAGAACAGAATAGAGGAAGAAGAAATGTGGGGAAAGTACCCTGAAATTTTCTGTGCAGATATACAGGCACAGAGCATGGCTGCAGAGGATGTTTGTGTCTATGAAAGAAAATTCTTCCCTAAATGAATTTATTATCAAAATGCCCCTGAGGCTGGAATTTAATTTCAAATAGAGCTTAAGTAATCAGACATCTATGTCTTGGAGCTGTGAAAGTCTGAGGCCTGTTGTGTTGCGAGAGACAGCTCTATCTTTAACATCAAAAATTGTGAGAAAGAGTGTGTTTCAGACTTAACAAAATTCTGATGCATTTATGCATCCATATCAGAGCTGCACCCGAGGAAGGAACAGTCCTTTTAAACTATCATGTTGTAGACAGCCTTGAGTCATAAGAATGGTGTAAAGGATGAAATATCATTGACCAGAACAAGAAAGTGTTCCTTTCTCCCCAGGTGAGCAGACAAATTTTCATAAATCTTCACTGCTGTTCCCTTTCTGCTTGACCATCACAGAAAAGGACAGTTCTTGGAACTAGAACACAAATATGTCCTAGGTTTTGACTTTCAGCATACATGCTACGTGGCTTACGTTTCCCCAGCAGTATATAAATGCGTTGTGGTGTGTGGAGGATTCCAGAAACTTCCAAGAGCATAAATGATTATTTGGAAACCTTGATTTCCCTTCATGAAGCAAAATAATGCAGCTGAATTAAGCTTGGCCATTTACAATAACAACAACAACAACAATAATAATAATAATAATAATAAAAGAATACATAAATCAGGCATATTCTTTTTCACAATGAGAATATCCAGCACTTGTAGAGCCATGTTGTATCAGCAGAACACAGTGAAGATCAAATCCTGAAAGAAAATCACTTTCAATAGATAGGAAACAGGCACGGTGACTGAGCGAAGCAAGGAGGAAAGAAAAGGAAGCAACTTGTACATCTGATCTACGAAACTTCACTTTCTGAATTCATAATGGAGATTGGAATAAGGAGTTTTCACAAACTCCTCCTGTTGCATCATTTTGCATGCTTTAAGCCCAGTATATTGAACAAGCAGGTAAATGTTCCCAAAACTTGAAATGAAGAGGCATCTGGGTATTGAATGGGTTTTCAGATGGTTGTCAAGGTTTTTCATTATACTGACACTTAGGAGACACTTTTTTGGGCCGATTACTTTTTCTTTTGATTTGTATGCATGTGTGTTTTGGAGGGGGCTGGTTTTATTGTTTTCATTTTTGAGGGGTTGTTTTATGAAGATATCTTCAACATTTCTGCATGTGCTATTGTGTTGTTGTGTGGCTGGAGTGAGAAAGAAGTGATGGGAAAAAACATATTTTAAACTATAGCCATCCTGTGGGCCAATCCTGTCTTGCTTAATTGACTAATTTCATTTGCAAAAGGGACCGAAGGGGCAAATTCAGACTAGAATTTCCGTGCAGTCACTCTATCCCTTTATAAATTACTTTCTATTGCATTTTCCTCCAGAGTAAACTGGGATTTAAAAAAGGAGAAGGAAGTAAAAGGAAATTCTCTCATTCTATCTCTGACCCTAAAAATCACATATTGAGCACACTTTCCTCAGCCTAAAAGTCTCTTTGATTTCAAATAACATCACTGTTTCTGGGTAAAGTAAAACATACTTTGGCCCAGAGACTTGCTTCTGAGCAAAGGGCTCCATCAGTGTGGCAGGCTTTAGGACTGGCTCCTCACAGGAGTAGCACTTCTGAAATGCCATTTCACACCAGCTGGGGATCTGCTTCTTAAGAACAAAGGAAGCAAGTTACAGCTAGTCCCCGAAGGCAGATAGCTGGCATTTCCTCCCACGTGTGCCTCGACCAAGTCAAAAATAGCTGCTGTTCAGGAGACATCACACACAGATGAGGATTCAAACCATTCTCAAAAGGAGGATGCTGCTTTACCCAAAACTGTTTCTCTGAGAACACCGATGCACCACAGTTCTGACTTGAACAGGCCAGATGAGAGAAAATGTGGATCTCCAAGTACTTCAGATTTTATAGGACATCTCCCAGTAGAATGTCTGCAGTTGTTAGCTCATGGGATAAAAAGCTTGTGAAGCTGCATTCTTGCAGCCAGATGGGATATAGGACTTTCTTCCCTCAACTGAGTACCTTGCATTTCAAGTCCTGTCTAGGTAAATTACCTTTCCAGGGCTGGATATTTCCTTTTTGTAGATTCCTTGGAAGTAACCTTCAGGGAACTGACTAACTTCTTAATGGCTTGGTCAGACAAGAAGGAAGGAAACTTGCACTGGTCCAGCGGGAGGCACCACTTCAGGCAGTCAGCATCCTGCAATTCTTCCAAGTCGGTGAATCACAGCAGTTTAACTCTCTTTCAAGGGCAAACTTCTTCCTTTCAGATAGGGCCAAGGTAGCAAAGACAAGACCTAAAATAGTTTCAGCCAGCACTGGACTTTGAAAACAATTTCAAAGAATCTCTATCTATGGCTAGGAAGGAGTCCAGCCTTAGTCTAGAAGAGCTGAATAAAGTATATCTCTTTGAGTGTAAAATCTGGAAAATCAGGACCTATTCAAAAAAAAAGAAAAATAAGCCACAAGATTTATTTAATATCTCCATGTAAGAAAATGCTCAAATAACAAGGCTTGCTTTTTCTTTTTGTTGCTGGAAAATAGAAATAGTCTTGATACCTGCCTAATTTCCTTTTATTATATTGAAATTAAAAGCATCTACAGACCTTGCTACAAAGAAAGTTCACACTAGTGCCTTAATCAACAGGGCCATGGCTCCAGGGGCTGTTGCATGATTTTCTTTACAGAACAGTGCTTCACCTCCTCACTCACATGAGTTCACATTTACATTTTGCTGTAGGTTCTCTCAGTTTCCAGTTCAGAGCTATGCTTTTCCAGGTTAACTATAGCCTCCAGACTTCTTGTGAAGCTAATGTTGTCTAGTGGCCAGGCATTCACAATAGGGCATTCTATCCATCTGGATCTGGATCTAGTAGAAGAATAGCTGTGTGTTCCAGCATTTCTTCAAGTTCCTCAAAGGATTTTTGAACATCGTAGTGGACCAAACAGATTTCTATAAAAAATAAGATAAATATAATGGGAATAAATTCAAATAAAGATCAAGTGATATGTGCTTAGAGTTGCTATTCACATGTCAAAACTAGAAGAAAAAGGCATCAGTTTAGTCCGACCTTCACATAAGAGGCAATGGCTAAGATCACTCTAGTGTCTCTGGCAATAATATTGGCAAGCAGTAGCCAAAGAGACAAACCTTGTCCTTAGATCAATCTTTTGTTCGGCTGTTTGGTTGGTTTTCTTAATCAGAATGTTTCTCCTGAGATAAAATCCACATTCTTCTTACCTTGACTAGTTATATTATGTGATAAAGTTCCATAAAAGCTTTTCCTTTCTTCCCTAGATTCCAGTGATAACTCCCAAATAACTGACTCAAAAAAGTTCCTGGCAAAACCACTGTGAAGCAGGAGCTTCCTATACAAAAAATGTTTGCAAATGAATTATGAGAGAAGCTCAGGAATAATAGAACTACCTAGAAAGAAAGAAGAATATTGGGTTAAAACTTAGATGACTGAATCAATTTCCTTGAATATATTACAGGTAATATCAATTAATAAAATCGAAAGATTATTAAGAGTCTAATATACTTCCCAACGTTTATGTGGTTTGTATAACCTTTTGCAGCTTAGACCATCTCAGCAGTAAAATTAGAGAAGTTTCACTAAAAAACTGAGCTGCCCAGTATTCAAACACTACACCACTGTTTCACAGAATGCAACAGAAAAGGAAAGCTGTGCATTAAAAGAAAATAAAGAAATGGTTGACATCAGAAACATTTTTCTGTAGCAGTGTTCATATGAAATTGAAATAACTATTCAAGATAAATGGCTAATCTTCATACATATGGCCCTTGCTAGAATTAAAATTTATTCTATATGAGCAGAACGAGATTTTTCATTCTTTTAAATAATTGTTTAAAAAACATTCAGGTCCAAATTACGGATGTCAAGCCTACGAAATGTTATTTTTAAGCATCAAGCTGTTTTCTTTTACTTAGAGAGAAGCCAAGGAATAAATTGCTAAATATAGTTTATATGTTGGAAACAGTGACACAACCTTAATTCTCTTCATGCTGTAAAATATGTGACTTTAAATATAAATTTTACAGAACAGTATTTTTCTCAACAGAGATTTCATTTCACTGAGTGAATCACATTAATAACACTTAGCTTATATAGTGCTTTTCATCTGTGGATCCACCAGCACTTTACAAAACGTAAATTCATTACCAATATTTTACAGAGATGCAATAAAGGGATTTGCTGAAGGTTACGCAGTGAGTTAGTAACACAGCTGCTGAAGGAATAGTCCCAAAAACTTGCTCCTTACCTATTAGAACACAGTGACCTGAGCATTAATTGCTTTTTTGCTCTTCTTTCAGCATGTCACTGTAAAAACGCCCTGAGAATTTATTATGGTGAAGTAAACCTTATGCAGCACATTGTGATCCAGTCACCTAATATTTGTTTGCCATATTTATCCTTGTGCTGTCTACACAGACAACTGAAAAGCTAGGTGTGAAACGTCCATACACAGAACAGTCCCTGCCAAAGGAAACTTACACTCAAACAAGACCAGGAGTGAAAAAATAGAGATATACACGACACTGAGCATTTAGCAGCTGTCCTACTGAGTCTGGTTTACCTATTTAAATTTTTTTGTGAGTTACCTTGGTAGTGAGTGGCTTGGTGGGAATGACAAGAGGAAGGAATTCATCTGGAATGAAAGGATGAATGTAGGAATACAATACAATAGAAGAATTGCCCAGAACGGTCTGAATTTTTTTTCTGTGGTAGAAAAAAAAAATCAAGTCTTTGGGCGCTCTTCTAAATTGTCATGGTTTAAGAGTTAGTCTGGCCTCTGCAAACTCAAATGACACCAGTGTAAATTTGGAGGAAGTATTTCATTTAGTAGAGTCACACTGGATTTGTGTGGATGCAATTGGGAACAGAATCTGTCTGAAGAACCAGCAGCAGTTGCACTTGCAGCAGTTCCCAGAATTCTTGAAAAGTTTTCTGACACTTCATTTGCATCGTACCTCCCTTTAGCAACACAATAAAATCCAACATATCATACCCCTCACAGATGTGGAGTAGTGTGTCTCTTCTTAAATAGAATTAATTAGACTATTGATTCGCAGCAGCTGAAAATCCAGCCCCCCATTCTACAGCACATGTCAATGTTATTGCTCAAACAATAAGATTTGCTTAACAAAAATATAACTCTGGTCTTTTCAGGTATCACTGATACTTGATTGTTTCGAGTATTGGCTTTCTGACAGGGTTTGGAATGAAGCCATTTTTATTAATTTAGTTATTTTTGCTGATATAAAAGGTCGTCTATCATGTTAATGATGTATCGGTCTGTGGTACCACCGAACAATAATTACAGAATGTTCCTAATAGTAAATCATTTGTCACAATCAGAGCTCACTACAACAACCTTTTGTTGAGCAATAGAATACATTAGGTGAATAGCAATACACCTTTATGCTTACCAATTAAAGGATCCCACACACACAGAATTTACATGAACTTTAGAATGAAGTATCATGAATTATGACTGCTGCTTACAAAATCTAGCTAGGTATAGAACTTGCTGCTAATTTTTAACTTGTCAAATCATTTGTATGTATCTTTTCAAGTATAATTGGAACTGCAGACAGATTTCCCAGTCTGTCAAATCAGAAGTGTTTGGAAAATTTCAGAGAATCAAGGACTTTGAAAATAGACACAAATAAATATTTAAAAGACCAGCTAATCTATTCAGAATGCAAATATGTCCTGTCACTCTATTACTCCATTTAGATCGTGATATTTTTTTTTTTTTCTTTTTTCTGGTTTTATCCGTTTGGTAAAAACTGCAGAAAGATTTTGGTTTAGGAAAGAGGTCTGCAATCTCTAAAGACAGGTTGCACTTGAAGGTTAGCTGTGAAGGGTAATTTGGTCGCATCCCACAAGTGTGTCCCTTTTAATTTCCAGCTGCTGAATATCATTAGCATTCAGCAATAAACCAGAGCAGAAATTTTAGTACTTTCTGATACTCACGGAGTTGCCACATGGAACTGGTTCATGAACTAATTCACATAAAAATGGATATCAAACCAGAAATGAACTTCAGAATTTCTGGATTTGAAAACTCCTTCTGCGTGGCTTTTAGGGCCCAGATTTGGTAGGTTCAATGACTGTGTGATTTTCTTTACCCCCATCATACCTCATAGATGGGTAAGACCATAACTGTCACTAGTGTTATGCCTATTAAGAGACAATAAATTCTAGACTATTGAGCCCAGTAGTGTCTAAACTAGATTGATTAAGCCAAATCTGAAAGCTGATCTTTTTGGTTCATTCTCAAGCTATTTCTTGTGATCATGAGATTAAGATAGTGTAGACTTGCCAGAACACCAGGAGACACCCCACTCCCTCCACAATACTCTCCCAGTGTCAGGCACAAGTCACGTGAAAGTCTCATGAGACCATCCATCCTCTCTGGAACTTGAACCCCATCCCACAGCTACAAGATCCTTGCACAGCTTGAACCAGGATCTGTCATCAACTGATACTTTTCCACAATGAACTGTTGCACCTTCCATCCCATAGGAGAAGTGACACAGTCAGTGGCACACACACACACAAAAGAAAAAAATAAACGAGCTGCCAAATCAGTGCTGTACTCCACCCATATGCCTCAATTATCTCTCCCAGGCCTCTGCAACACCACACACCACATCAGGAGCAGCAGAGGGACTACCAATGAGTAATTAAACCTCTTATTGCTTTGCACGGCTGAGTAGTTTTCATAACAGCACTGCACAAAACTTGAGATTCACAGATTTTTATATAAGCTCCTCAACATTTCTACTTGCCTCTCTCTCCTTTTTTAATTTCAACTGTTAGAATAAACTTTACTGTGAACTGCTGGGAATAAGAGGATTTGAGCAGGCAAATGCTAAGATGATTGTTCATTAAACCCAATGACTTTGAAACTGCTTCTGTGTCAATTAAAATAAAAACTGTCAAATGCTTTAAAAGAGCAGCTTTGTATAATAGGAACTCCGTTGAGTTTATTGGCAAAGAGAGCCATTCCAGGAGGTTATACAAAGGAAATAATATGTTGTACTTAGGAATGTCATCCCAGTCTCTCCTGATTCATCTTCAGAAAAGAAAACTGCATGTAACATATATATCAACATTCATACGCATGCTTAGTGGACAGCTAGAGAAAGAGGGTTTGGGGCCTTTTACTTTTGTTTTTCCAGCTTTTTTTTTTTTTTTTTTTTCCCAAGCTAACAATTAGGATTGTCAACTTAGAAACCACCGGGTTTTGTTTTGTTATGGTTTTAACTGGATGCAGATTTAACACTTCGTATAACTTAAAAATGCCATTTTGTTACAGTAGCCAACCAATACGACAGGGGATCTTCACGCCTGTGTGTCAAGTGTCAAACGTAAAACAGCTGTAAAATGGGACAATAAAAAGCGTGTTACTGTAGAATTCTGACAGCCCCTGCACTTGGCAATTAGAGAACCTTCATAACAATTATCAAAATTGAAATCAGATTAAAGAAGCAAATGTGGGAGAGTAGAATGGTCGTGATGGAAGTGTCTTCCTTCTGTAAACACCCTTCTTCTCTGTCTTGTGACTACACGTGCATGTGCTGTGGCCATCTCTGGACAATGAGAAAACATAAGCAAAGGAAAGAAGCCAAGTTTCTCTGAAACAAATGATGTTGAGTCCTCAAGAGGGCAGTGACGAGAAGGGAGGGGGGAAAAGCTTGCAAAAAAAAAATTAGAAAATTCAAATGTCTCTCCCCCCTTACTCACACACACTACCCACCCCTCACCGTGTTCTGTCCAGAAGAAAAATCCCTCAGCCACAATGGTTGTTTTTATTAAATTCTCCTCAATAAAAAGCTCAGGCAGGATTTATTAGGTACTCAGGGCGGACGTTTAGTATTTCGCCAGTTATTAAGTGAAAATCAATAGAAAGCAAAGAAAATGGAAGTCACTGCACTGTTAGCACGCTGTTGTCGCCCAGATATTATGTCGGCTGTCTTGTAGATTCATGACAGACGAAAGCGGCCGGGAGAGAACTCTTTCTGCTTACATTGCAGGAGCCAAAGTGGGGTTATTCATTAGATCAGGCAGCTGGCCAGATGGATTTCCAGTTCAGTTTTACCATTTATCTTAAAAACGCCTGTATCGAGTGAGAAAGAACACTGATATTATGTGATATCGATGGCAGCTTTATGTATCTAAATCAGGATTTATTGTTATTTTGTTCTGAAGACCTTTTTTTCTCAAGAAATACCATTTCACTGGAAGAAAATAATAGCTAAAACCTTGTCAAAGATAACCTTTCATGTTGTTCGTGCACCGCTGGCTGTAAAACAAATAGAACCCAGGGTATAAATAGGTTTAACCACATCCTTACAAATCATTCCCTTTAGGATATTCTTACTCTTTTTTTTTTTTAATGGTACAAATGTGGGTTTTGGTCATTAGTTGTTTTTCCTGCCAGTAATTTAGTTATAAATAACGTCAGCATTTGTTTTAATTGCATTAAAAAACACTAGAAGCTGTATGTCTCTGGAATGCCAGAGCAGAAGGTTTTTTTTCAGTGGGTGGGTTTGGGGAGGCATTTTTTCTGAGTTTTTTTGCCTTTTGCTTTTTTTTTTTTTTAAGCTTCTCTCTCTGTTACCAAACTTTTCACCCAGATCATCACAACAGAAGCAACAACAGCTGTTCTACCATAAAAAAATGTGTTTTTAAGAGAGAAGACCAGATCTCTGAAAGAGATTAGCTCCTGCTTAGGCATCTATAGGAAAAGTACAGCATTTCAGAAGTTCTCAACGTTCAGAAAGTTCCATTTTGTCCAGATCATGTAATTCTTTTGCACTCAGGATGGATTTATTCCTGCCCTAATCAGGAACATCATGCTACTCAGCACGAAGGCCTGCACGGCCTTGGGCTGCAGCCTCAAAGCACCATTTCTGTCACAGATGTGCAATCAAAAGGGCTGCAGCATGAAATGTGTTTTACCTTCCTCAAACACCAGGGGCTTATTTTGAACCACGTGCAAATAGACACAGAATTCAGTAATCTCTGCCTCTGAAATGGTTGTTAGGTTTTCTTTGGAGGAACAGTGCAGACATGCCATAGTTAGATGGTGCCAATCCTAGCATACATCACCACATGTTTTTTGTTCACAGATAAACCTCTGCAATCAATAATCCAATACCACAGGCATCAAGAATAGAATAAATTCAAACATATGAAATGATATAGAAATTAGTTGTGAGAGGTGAGGATAGGATGGGTATCCTTTAAGGTAACGACAATGAAGATGTGGTTTAGTGGGCATCTATGATTGCCCACAGACTGAACTGAAAAAGGCCCAATGGGACGTGAAGAATGTTGAGAGCTCACTTACCTCTGTGGCTCAGAGTATTTTTGTGTACAAATGCTTTTATTGTCCTTTCCCTCCTCTGAGCACTCTAATCAAGCTGTAGATGTCCCTGTTCATTGCAGGTGAGTTGGACTAGATGGCCCTTAAGGGTCCTTTCCAACTCAAACCATGCCATGCTTTTATGATCTTGATTCTGAGTGAGCCATGAGTTCAATCCATCCAGATTCACTTCCAACCACTTCAGTATCATCCAGGCTATCTTGACCAGCCTGTGTCCCTGCCAGGATCTCTTTAAAATGTGTTCGCTATTACTCAAACAGCAATCTCAAACCACAACTCTTAGTCAGTCACCATTCAAAGGTTGTGAAGACTCTGGAGCACCGGAAAAATTAAAAAAGCCACTTTGAACCAAACACATACAAGAGAACTAACAAAGTTGTAAATAACATCACAACCCTGGCAGGAAGAAGCAGAATGCATTGCTTTATGTTTTTGGCTGGTTGTTTTCTGTTTTTTTTCTTTTGTCTTTTCCTTCTGAGAGTGTCAGCTTGTCACCATTTCAGTGACACTCTGGACAGTTTCCCCCCAGCTGAAATATTTTTCTAGGATCTTTGAGTTTTTAGATTCCCTTTGAATCCACTGTACCACAGGAAGAGGAAACCATTGTATCTAGGATGGAGTCACAAATGCATGGTCTTCCCCTACCAATAGCTCAGCTATTGTTATCCTGCAAAATCCTTTGATTTAGCAAAACTTGGCCACCCCCACTGCAGTTGCTCAGAGAAGTAGCAGCAAAAGCAAATGATTTTTCCCAGCCACAAAGTCTGCAGGGTGGAGAGAGCTTTTAATTTCTGTGCATGTTAATTTTTCAGTTTGGTAAGTTTCATTCTTGCTAGAACATCTCTCTCAGTCACTTAAAGACAAACCAAATGTGGTGAAAATCAAGGGCTAATGAAGGACCCTTAAACTCTCTGAATTGGTGAACATTCAGTCAAATTATTTTTAAAATACTATTTTACCTGACAAATCACATGCAATTCTTTGGATTCACCCAGAGCCATTTACAAGATGCAGGACTACCTGAAAACAAACAAAGGAAACAAGAATTTACTTTGCTAGATGCTTGCATATAATTTGCCAGAGACCCTGGCTGATAAATAGACGCAGATGAGACCTGAACCCCATGTCTGAGTGGAAGTTGTGCAGCAGTTATGATGGCTTTAGGTTTTATATAGCTGTAGGTGCTGTTCTGATGCAACTCTGGAAAATGTTTCTTAGTTTACTTTTATTCATCATAATTCAAAATACATTTCTAATCAATGAACTTCCACATAAAATAAAACTAAATCAACCAATTTATCTCTAGATAATGAAGAAAAATGAAGGTGTCTTTAAATCTCTGTTTTGCTTAATTTCTTTCAGGGACGTGAATGTGTGTCCCAGCTGAATTTAACAACTAGAAGACATCAGTTACTTTGTGATGGAAGCACAGAGCTACGCTTTTGAGCAAAGAGATGTGCAGTGGTCAAATAAATTCAGAGGCAATTTTTTGAATGTTCCACTGTTTTTTTCCTTTTTTGGCTATCCATTTCCAGTGTCTTCCGGTAGTAGCTGTGTGTAATGAACTAATCTATTCTTTATGTCTTTCTCTCTCTCTCTCTCTTTTGTTTTTTAATTGACTTTTAAGATGCCACGTTTCTGATGAAGCTAAGGAAAATAGAACATATTCCATTTACTCCAGGGTAGAAAAGTTGTCCTATTCTGGAAGGGTCTTACATATACAGTTTCCCCCAAAAAATAATTTTTAGCAGTTAAAAATGCAAAGCAGATTTTCTAGTATTCTGCAGCTTTTTATCTCCTGATGTTAAGTCTGGTTCATCACCATGAGATGAGCAACCCCCAGGCTTATTTCTTCATTCTGATGCCATCTTCGGTACTCTATCTTCGTCTGTCCTTCTCACATATGCACCTCGGCATTTTGTGAAAAAAACAACAACAACAACAAAAAACAACAACAAAAAACAGATTTACACTCAAAACTCCACCAGGTGACTCTTGTAGTCTGTACAGTGTTGGACAGAGTTTTCCACTTCAGTCCCAGGGCAGAGAAAAGAAACGGCATTTCTCCAAGCAGAACTCAAAACTTACATCAAGTTTTCTTTCCTTTGCTCCACCTTCTCCAAGACAGTTTTCTCAGTGAAAAAATTACCAAAAATACTAACACCTGATTTGATTAAATCAAGACTGGCTTTCCTTTTTTTTTTTTTTTTTTTTTTTTGGAGAATTGTTAATAAAATCACACTTCTAAAAAACCAGGACGGAATGTAAATGCTGCACTAATTTAATTACACTTTGGCGCTGGGAGACACTAATGTAAATATTCTGGTGAGTAGGCCTAAGACACTTGAAGTAATTACTTAAAGGCTTCCTTTCAAAGAATCTCCCCCTTTTTATTAAATGCCTTTTAACATTAGCACTTTCTTCCTGACAAATTAAATGAAATTTCATTACTCTCCCTGACTTAATGGCATGACGCTGCCTGCTGCAAGTGCAAGTTAACCCTCTCTGGACAGAAGACACAGCGTTGGTGTATTCTGGTTGTTTCTAGGTATCACCACACATCCTGGGCATCCTCCTGGCAGCCCATCATCATCCTCATTCTTGTCTACAAGTTTTGCTTTACACTCCATATTTCAGAGTGTCCCAGCTATTGGTTCATAGCTGCCTGCAGACCGGATCAACTGCTCAGAATGGGACGGTATCCAGCTCTTCAGTTACTCCAATTTCAGGAAAGCTCAGTTTGTGGCTGGGTGCTTAGCCTATAGGACTCTTAAGAGACATATCCATAAAATTCAAATACTTTATGAAGCCTTTTTGTAGAATTAATAGAGATCTTATACCAGATTTATACTTGTTTTGATTATTTAGCCTGGTAGCCCACGATTGCAACATTTCACAACAGTACAAGTTCAGGCACCTTTAGCACCAGTAGATTTTCATGTACTCACAAAGAGAATTGAGAGAGAAGTTATGTTACTAATCAATACTAGTGAGAGCAGATTTAATTTTTGATCAAAGTCCACTTGGCCAGTCCATTTTGTAACTTTTTTTTTTCCCCTTTTTCATTGATTTCTTTTTAAATTAAATAAAAGTTGGGTCAGGTATCTCCTCTTTTATTTACATACCCACATAGCACACAAAAGTCCTATTAGACCAGCTTCTGGGCAAGGAAAATAGTGACAAACTGTACCATGCTGTTTACAGATTGTCGCCACAGCAATGGCAGCTTTTAAAACATCAATGAGAGCCAATGTTCATAAGCTGGCAAAGAAAGTGAAGGAGCAGCAAAGCAACAGTTCTCTGTGCATGAAGGGAACTGCATCATTCATACATCTCCCAACATCACTCCTAGTATCCTGGCAGGTCGGGGCTCTCTTGGTCCTCTGATGGATTCACCACTGGAAGCTGCAAAGCTTTACCTCCCAGACAACTTCCAATACTGCCAGGCTACCACTGCAGTAGCTGTTTTATGTATGATTTTTCCTCTATCTTTCTTTTTCTTCTTCCATATCCCTATAATTTTGAGATTACCGAAGGACTGCTGTAAAGTTAGCCAGCCACCAGATGTGCTTCACATTGACATTTCCTACATTGTGTTTTCCTTCTAATTCTTTATCTCCTGAATTGTTGTCACACTGGGTATTGCTGTGCGAGGAGAGGTACAAAGAAAAATACGGCCTTTCCTCGTAGGGTTTAGATGATGCCTCCAAATGGAGCTGATGGAGGGTAAATGGCTTCAGCTGATCATCACTGCCACCTCCCCAGCTGACGTCTCTCAGGCAGGATAAATGCAAAGCCAGCAAGTTAGCACTGTTTCATCCCAGCTGAGAATCTGGCTTTACATATAAATAAGGAAAAAAGTTCTGCTGCCATACCCGAATCAATCCTGTCCTGTCCATTGAAGCTGCCAGCAGCAGAGGAAATGTATGCTAGTTTTAATAATGGCTTTAAAAAGTTATTTGATGAAAAATTACCTCTGGGTCTGCCTCTTCTGAGCATGCTTCACCCATAGTACATAAGTTACTGGTGCCAAGTTCCATCTTGTCACAGATGTCCTTTTTCAGAACGCAGAGTTTTTGGGAAAGAAAAAAGGGCCTTGCAAACTCAAGTTCACATGGAAGATTTTTTTTGGCAGAGTCCATAGGTCAACCTATAAAGAAAGAAAATATCTCTGTTTTCTTCTGCAGACTTATCAGATTTTGAAAAGAGAGCTTTCTCCTCTTGTGAGGTCCAGGTAAAAGTTCACCCATTCCCTGGCTGCTTGCTTCTGACAAACAAAAATTAAGGACCTGAAAATAACTATTTTATCTGAAAAAATGCTAAACATCCCAAAACAAACATTCAGCTGTGCCGCTGCCAAATTCCACAAGTAAGAGAGCTGCAGGCTGAGACAGCTCATGGCTCACTGGGGAATAATGGGTAAAGTTTGGCCAGCTGCCCCTTCCAGGCCTTCAGGGACACACAATCCAATTGCAGTGTCTTAGCGGATGTGAATTTCAAGGTTACACCTGGGTGTTCAAGGGCAGGGCCAAGTGTAATCGGCACTTAGATCATAGATTAATCTTATTTGCCATCTATTAGGTTTGATTCTTGCTTCCCGCTCTCCCTCCCTAAAGCCAGGATTATTGTGATAGTTTAAGATAATGGATTCTAACGGAAGAAAGGTCACGCAGGCATTGAGATTTGGAACCTTAAGATAATATGATTAATCTAAAAGCTTCTTTCTAAAAGGGGAGGGGACAGTCTCATACATTTAATTGAGGGGAGAGAGTGAGAGAGAGGGATGGAATTGCAACATGGAAGGAGGAGTGAAGGCTCCTACTTTTTGTCAACTGCAATTAATTAACACAGTAAGAAAGTACTTTTCATTCATTTTCAAGCTGATAAACTAGACCTGTTTTGGTTTTTTGTTTTTTGGGTTTTTTTTTTATCCCTAAAAGTGATTATTATTCATTTTTTAATATTTTTATGGAAAATCATAAATTGCTAATAAACATGCATATTGATTTTCACAGCAGCATACATAACAAATGTAAACCATCTGGTGCACACTCAGATACATACGTACAAATTCATACCACTGAGGAATGGAAATTGCTATATAAATGAGATATTCTACTATCAGGTGCTTGGCCTTTATAGGTACTGTAAGAAAACCCTACAGTGGAGAAACGGATTGTAATAAGTTTATAGTAGTAGCCAAAACGTTCTGGGGACTGTAGAAAGAGACTCACTGTCCCAAAGAACCTGCAATGCTATATTGCTGTGCAGTATTACATAATAAAACCTTTCCTTAGTTATTTATACTGCCTGAGATTATCAGATAAAGGAATTTGTGAACAAAGAAATGGTCTCTTTGTTATTCATGCTGTTTATTTGCTTGAGAATTTGGATAACCAAACATAAAATAATCAAATCATATCCTTATGGTTTGCACATGTCATTCCAATACCACAGGAATTATAAAAAACATTTTTGAGAAATGTCTGTCATATTTCTATTTCATTTTTAAATCATAAAAATATCTCTCTTAAGATTTATAAACAACCACCAAACAGTAATAAATATTTTACAGGCCCAAATCAAAATTGTTATTAACAGCCCTTTAAATATGATGAGCCTGGCCACCCACTGACTAACAATAACAAAATGCAAATAATTTAATAATTTTAGCTGACTCCTGGCTTTGATGTGTTTTGAGTGCCCAAGTTCAAATATCCCATCCTTTCTTTGCTGATCATGGGGATCATGGGGATCTTTTGCCAGTCCAAAAAAAAAAAAAAAAAGACATAATTACTTGAATACACAACAGTGATGCCACTATATTGGACTTCATGCAATCAAGTAAAAATCATAGTTTTATGGAAATAAATCAATAGACTTGGAGATGTCACAGTATTTTCCTCTTGCAGTGAACAAGAGGGGGTTTATGTGGCTGGTTTCTGCTGGATGGATTTAGAAATTTTCAGTCATATCTTCCCTGAAGCTCTGTGGATCAGCCCCAGAATTCAAGCAGCCAAAAATGCACCCGCTTGCTATTAGACCAGGTTCATTTCCCCACAACTCACTTCTCATGGGATGCCTTTCTGGAGTAGAATCACACTGCAGCTCCTATCCCTGTGAGGATGTAGGGAGTTAGCATGCGTCGCATGGAGCTTCTCATTTTAATCCTCTCTTTTCGTGACCAGTTTTGTCCCTTTTTACAATATATCCTCTCAGATCCTACGTGAAAAGAAGGGCAGAAGAATTTCCTTTCTCCCTGACCTTGCAGTCTAACTAAGAAGTACTGGTGAGATTATTCCTAGAAACTCAAGAACCAAACCAAGTGTTACTGCTGCCGTGGCTGAAGGGTAATGTAATTAGAACTTGAGCTACGGCTGCTTAATACAACCTGTAATAATAATATATGTCTATCATCATTCAGAGCTATTCTAAGACTCAGAGCAGTATTAAAAGCCATAGGAAATAATTAGTAGTGAAGAGGAATCATGAGTTGCTGGGTGCAGCATTCACACAAGAGCCAGCTGCAGATGGCTTTAAAAATGACTGTCTCCAACATATGCCATCACTGCAAGATCATCTATGGATAAGTTAATATAAGGAAAGATAAAATCTCAGGAATGGATTCAGCCATATATTAAGCTATATAATTCTGCGGATCACTGAGGTTAGGACATTAAGCTGAAGGAGGAGTGAGGGAGGATGGAGCACTTAAGAGCTAAAAGTAGGTATGCACAAGTCACTTGGTTGCTGCAGTTCTTACACACATTTTGTGAAAATGTGAGTATTTACCGGCTTATATTGCCCTGTAAAATGTTTTAGGATATCATGTAGAGCAGAAAATAGAGACAGATTCTCCAGAGAATTATAGCAGTGAGGGTAGCTGAAGCTGTTGGGAGAACGCGGATCTGCAGCTGCAGAGGGTTTCTATTTCTTTTGGAGAGGTGCTGAACAAGAATAGGTGAATTGGTCACAGCCATTAAGACAGACACACAGACCTGCTGGAAACTCAGAGTCCTTATGACATACTTTGCAAGGAGCCATATTAATTGTGCGTAAAAAATTGAGAGCCTCTGTGTTGTTCATTACGGTTCTAATTTCCCTCCACAGGAGTGTCATATTTTTGATGGTACTTTAGCTATGTTGTCATTACATCCCTCAGAGAACGTATTCAGAGGATAAATGCTGATTATAGAAAAATAAATACATGGCCTAATAGATGCTTAAATAAAAAAAATGATTGCTATATGAAAACATAAAAAGGTATAACTAAAAGTGAGGTATAATTAAGCTGCACGAAATTCAGCAGTTTGGACTGAAGTGCACAATCCTATGAAACCTTGGCGAGGAAAGCCAGACATGTAAAAGCACAAGCTATGTCAAATGAATGTCAAATCCACAGGCAATTCTACTCGCTCTATGTGTAAGTAAAGGCTCAGGCCCATCCTGTTTTGGCAGTACTTACAATTTTGTGGCTTTGAGGTATGAGGACTTCACTCATCTCCCTCAGAATCAGGCCCTGTGATTCTAGAGGAAGGTGTTTCAGCAACTGACTCCAAGTTTCATGTTCAAACAGCGCCAAAGTTTTAAAAGAAAAATACTGAGATGTGTTTCCTTTTGCTTTCCCCCACATACAGTTTTTGTGGGAGTTACGACCCAGACATCTTTCCTGGGAGGTCACTTGGTTGAAGAACCATAAAGGGATTTTTGCTGCGACATTCAGCAGAAGTCCTGCCTCAGTAGAGCAGCATCAGCAAAACCACAGACAGCATTTTCCTCTTGGTAAACAAGGTAAAAATACTTCCCATGGTAGGTGTCCTTTAATACTAGCCAGAAATGAATTAACACCCAATGAGTGTTAATACTGGGTACTTTGTCATTCTCACCCTCATATCTAATTTTTTTTTTCCCATAAAGGCCTAACATGCATGCAGCTGCTAAATAGATATCAAAACAAGAAAAGATTTCAAGATGGAAATTATTGAAACAAATTATAGAACTTATTATTTAAAAAAAAAAAAAAAAAAAAAGTGAAATACAAAATAAACAATGTTCTCTGTCTGGAATAGGCTTTTCCCTCTCCTTTAAATCTACAGGGTGATCCATAGTCTGAAACACTGTGGACTGCACAGACATCTACAGGCTCTCTATGGAAGATCTCTTTGTTACCCACCACAGACTAGAGGTGTATGTGGAAGCGTTGGTCCCCATTTCTTCTCCATTCCCATAGAACTGAGTCTTTAAAAACTGCTGTCATGAGAAAACTGCCTGGATACTTTCAATCAACACAGCAGATTATGTTTTATCAGAATATTTCTTCACTCTTCCCTCATTCAGCCGCTGGGCCTTGTGTATGTTATTCACCTTCTTGGAAGTAGTTGTCAGTTCTTTTGAGCTTCTCCAGAGAAAAAGCCTCTGCCTAATATATGATGTGCTTATTCATCCCAGACGTAGGGCATATCATTCTCAAATGACTGACAAGCGTTCTAAAATGAAGAGAGCTCCAAGTGTGCTCTAATAGTGATGGGAAGCATTTCTAGTCAAACATAAAGCAAATTAATGTGAGCCCCCACTGCACCTTTAATCTGGAAATGTCATAAAGTAATAAGCAGAGTGACCCCGGCAATGTCTAAGGTTGGATTTCAATAGATTTACATCTTAAAGGGCAACTACATATTTTTAAGTAGTCGGGGCCCAAATGCAGAGCCTCTCTTCCACCACTGCAAATCTGCAGGGACTCTGCTGACTTCAGGTACCACAGATATCAGAAGATGATCTTATTTTATAAGCTTTCATGACAATAATGCTCATCCCTAAATCAGCCACCAGCTTCCCCACCAAAGAAATTTTAATCCTTTCAATCTCTTTCATTATCTTAAGAAGGGGCAGACTCTAGCTCCTCATGTCTCATTTCAAACTAGTTTCATTAGAAGTATATTTAATTAACGTACCCTTTTGATTAGCATTCAGAATGAAAAGCTGTTTTGCACAGCTCCCAAATCAGAAAATTCAATAATACACATGAAAAGAAATAGGCCACAGGTCATATTCCAGCAAAGAAGTAGCAGTTTTCATCCAGAAATAGAGTATGAATCCAGAGCTTCCTATTACTGTAGTATCCAGGTAAGTAAATAATGAATATACATAGAAAATACTCAAAGCGATGACCTTTGAGAAAATTCTTAAACTTGTTTTACCAACAAACAAACATATACATGTTGAGGGGACTGGTCATCCATCTCTTTTCTCCATCAATCTTATTTCGAACCCTCTTCCTACCTCCTTAACACCTAATTAAGATAGAGGAGAGCAAGAAACCCTGACTAGATTCAATATTCTTCAAGCTAATTAGGATGCCTAAAGGGGTGAACATTGATGATGAAGACCAAGTGGCAGTAAGTTTCTTCTCAAAGCTCTGCAGTACAGAGTACAGTAAAGCTGAGGTCCTCTGTTAATGTCTGCTCCCATCCTGGTGATCCAGCTGCACGTTACATGGAGCCATCCCTGACTGTAAGACATGACATCGGAAAAAATCTCTTCTGGCCACGCTTGGGTGTGTTTTCTTTTTCCTAAAGGAAAGCCAGCATGATTTAATGTGGATGCACCTGTGGCGCGGGTGACCAAAGCCTAGGAGCAAAACAAGGAGCCAAGCAAAATGACAGCATTGCCTCACAGTTCCATTTCCTGCAAAAGCAGAGCTTGGCTGTAAGAGGTATCCCATGTTCGGAGAACGTAAACTAAGGAAGCATTAAAAGGCTAATACAATTCAACGATTTACACCAAGATTTCATGTTGAAGACATCTATTTTGTTCTATGCTAGGGGAAAAAAAAGCATTTTTTGCATTAATCCCCTATTCTACTTGCCATTTTCCCTAAAACACAGAAAATTATCAAGATTGAAAAAGGGAAGAAAGGCATTGAGTAGCAGACATATCATTGTGTTTGTGTGCTTTCACTCAATATAGGATTACATTTCATTTTAAATCACTCCAGGTTTTGGAAAAAGAGAAAAATAAAAGGAAGAAAAAGGAAAAGACACTGGGGTAATAGGCTTTTCCCTAGGGGTTCCAAATAAAGACGATTTTACAATATTCAAATAGGTATGTCAACCAGGTATGGTTTTGCCTCTTGAAATTCCAGTCACTAGTACCACTCCAGCAAGGAGGCTGAAAGATAAAGGTGTGCAAAAGCATCAGCAGGAGACAGCAGGGAAGGGAAGACGGATCCTTTGGATCATCAGCCACAGGCTGGCAATGTAGCCCTGAGGCTGTTGCGAAGCACCCAGTGCACAGCTCCTGTTTAAACTAGCAGGATTGGCAAGAGCCACACACCTCTGGAGGGATGGGGAAGTCAGGCTCTGAAATGTTATGGCTTCCCCCAATGTAAAACGGGGTTAATCATACATCCTTAACTCACAGGGGTGTTGTGAAGATTGATCAGTTAATGTTTGTACAGAGCTTTGGAAATGTAAAGTGCTATATAAATGCTAAGGATTATTATGTTCCACTCTTTCTCTGCAGCTGAACCCTTTGGGGAAAAGCAAGAAAAATCTATTAAAAAATGCGACTTGCATTTTATATCTCTGATTCTTTTTCTCTACCTTGATGCTTTTAGTAACTTGGGTGAAGGTAGGGGGTGGTGGAAATCTTCAAAATGGGTTTGAGGGCTCACATTCTGATTCCTTTACCAGTCTCCCTCACCAGTAGCCAACCTCATTTTCATTCATGCATATTTAAGGTGAGATCTGACATCCTTTACAATACATACATATACCTGCAGTTAGTATCTGGGTCCAAACAAGATTTTCTAATGCACAGTTTGTCCCTAATCTATTCTCTTTCATGTCAGCAAGGCCATAGATCTCATCAGCTAGATCTGCTTCGGCTTCATCTTCCCCCAGGAAGTGGCCATTGGATGATTAGCCTGGCATGTAAGCTAGTCCATCCCTACCACAAGGTTAAGGAACACGTTTCACCCTGTGAGGTGTTTCGCTCCTGCTGACTCACATCTCTGGGCCCTGAGTGCAAGTTCCATGAGTAGAAGATACCACCAGAAGATATTCTTAATTGTGGAAAGAAACAAAGTGCATGAAGGGAATTTCACCCATTGAGTGTCCTCTCATGCAAGATAATACAACTATATCCAAAGAAACCTTCTCCTAGAACTAAAGCTCCCACCTGCCATATAAAAGCTTTAAACCATACAAACATAGAGTGACAATAGAAGTGCCTTAGTTGTGCAATCACTCTGGGCACAGTCTACAAGAGGGATGACTCTTTCCTAGAGGTCTCCCACACCAAAGATTCATCACCGCACTCATCTTCATACACAATCACCTCATCCTCTCCCAGCCATCCTGCCACTTTCAATTGGACTTTTAATACACTGAAACCAGTGGAAAGATGTCTGTCAGTCATCAGTGATGGTAACCCCTTTAGATGCAAAGCTGATTAAGTTGCTTGTGATCGCACAAGGATTCGATGCTAAACATGAGCAGCTGGCACTCACATGCACGCACCAGCCCAGGGCAGTTCACAGCAAGTAAGCTGCATCTCCTGAAAAGAAAAGGAAGAGGAAAGCAAGACACAGGATAAGCATTTCCAAATTAGGAAAGTATCAGGGTGGGGAATTAAACTTTCATTTGCAACTGTAATTAAAACAGAGGATTTACAAAATACAAAAATAAAGAAATTTAAAGAAAGACCAAACTGCAATACAAATAGTCTCAATAATACACTTTGTCTCATTCTGATGTCACTGCAACAAGGTTTTAATAAAGCAATGGACCTTTCTTTTAAGCTATACCTCCTCTCAACTAAATTCCTCTGCAAGTAAAAGCTTTATTATCTCCAATTTCTTGGCAGCCACTGGAGGAAAGGTCACTTAATAAAGTGCATTTATTCCTCATTGCAGAAAAACAATATGTCATCCCTGTGTTCATTATTTACCAAATTGTCGTCATTTTTTTTCTTCACCTGCTAGGCTTTTGGCTATAAAAATAAATAATATTATAAAACGAAGCCAGATATTTTCAGGCAGCATCAGAATTTGTCAAACCATCTCAGTTCATAGAGAGTAAAAGAGAATGAAAATCAGAGTGATGGTGCTAAATGATTCATCTTCAGGAAAAGATATACAGTTAGAAATGCAGACGGGGAGAGGACTGACTTTAAATACACTGGGAGTCATAAACTGTGAGTGCAAGCGCTGATAATAGCTCAAAATACATGATAGATAAAGGCTAGAAAAAAGAATTAAAAAAGGAGAAGTAAAAAAGAAATAAAGTATTGCATCATTCTAGTATTTTCTGATCCTGTGATAATAAGGCACTTGCCCAGAACAAAATTCAGATCAGAATCTTCTTGTTAAGGACCAGAGTCTATATTTTCAATTAACCTAACAACTCACTGAAAATACTAAAGTTTCAAATCTCCAAGTTGATTACAGATTGCAGGATCTTTGCAGACAGTACGTAAGAGAACAAACACTCAACAGGTTTCAGGACACAAGTTCTCAGGCACTTAAAATAAAAAACAACTTTTATATGTTACAGATCTGTACATTCAACTTTGTAGTCCTCATCACAGCGTTTTCCAACCCCAGCCTCTCTGTTTCACCTGCGTATATCCCCGGTCTTGAGAAGAATTAAGCGAGGATGATGTTTAAAATATTACATATTGCAGCACTGGTGTTTTTTTTCTGCTAACATTTGAATTTTTATCCCCAGCATTTTTCAAGCAACTCTAGACAGATCTAATAGAATATGTGCCTACCACATCTGTGACTTTTTAATTTGTGTATGTTGCATCCTACTTCTCTCCATCTGCTTGTTGTCTTTAAGCTATGATGGTGCAGCAAGTCTTACACGAGCGGATGATGAGGGGTTGGAGTCTGTCTGCCTACATTCCCTTTCCAAATCGGTCCCCTGAAAAAGTATATGTCCCTCTGTCCTTCCCAGTGACAAGATGTAGGCACTAAGATCTGGGGCTGGGGTGAGATTTTGTGACAACAAGGCATAATTTAAAATACACCAGAATCCCTGCGTTGCAGATGTAAGTGCAATAAAAGGGCCTTACCTGGAGGCACCGTGAATTTCTATTTTGGTTTTAAACAGTTGGGCTGGAAAAACCCTGCTTCTGCATATAACATATCTACCTCCAGGCTATGTGGTGTAGGTGGAAGTTTTGGTTGTATCTACAGTGTAAAACCAAGCCCTTAGGGGGTTAATATGCCATCTTGAATAACTCCTTTGGTTGAAGTTTATTAAATCCAGCCAGCAGACTGTCTGATTGCTAATAGGATTTCCAGTGTAATATCTCCTTGTAAACAAAATGCTGCACTTATCTGCTGGACATCTACGTTGCACGCATATGTGTGTGCGTGTGTGTGCGCGTGCGTAGCCCTTTGGATCTCTTCTCTGCATTTATTAAACATCAAGAAATAATCCTCTCATGGTGCAGCCAAAAATAAAATGTGAAAACTCTTTAAAGCAGCCTGTAGGAGGCAAAGCAAATCCCCATAAAGAGCAGGTCCTTGGAGTAAAATGGAAGTTCTTCAGAAAGCACGTAAAGACTTTTTGCCTTTTATCCATACAGGGAGCAGTGTTATCTTTCTTTCCCCTCCATCCACCCTTTCCTCTTCTCCCTGCATCCCACAAATACACATAGATTTGTTCTGCCATTTGATCTTGCGTCTTGTGCCCCATGCCCCTTTCACATCACAGTCACCAGTGCCACTCTGAAGTGTGCTCACTCTGTCACCATCACACAGTCAGCATTATCAGGCACTTTTATTCCCAGAAGGGCGACCATCACTTCTGACCACTACAACATTTGCAGGGCGTCCTGTGTTAAGTTGTAGTGTGCAGGATTTCTTTAAGCTGCCATGGAAACTAGCACTAATGCTTTATTGTAACAGAGATAGAAGACAACTGGATTGCTTACTTTTTCCAATTTTCTTTCATTTCACTATGCATTTTCATGAGCCTGTTTTCTGTATTTAGATTCTCTCTGCTTCCAGTAGAACAAATTACCTGCATAAGTTGATCTGATCAAGATATGTTGTATTATCAGATAATAATCTCTAATATGTCACTGCCATCTCAAGTCTGTGTATTTGAAATAGAAACCAGTAATGTGAAAATCCTCTGTCCCAATCTTGCTGCAAGACTTACAACATCTAAATCCACAATTACAAAACTAGAACACTCATGCGATATTATCAGCATTAGCTAGTGATACAACCACACATGTCACTTGCTTGTTCATAGGTAACTTCATACAATTTTTCTCTGTCTCTTCCCAAATACTCTTATGGTAAGGGTGAGCCTACAACACAAACAAGCAGCAGCAGCAATCATAGTCATGGCGATACCCTGGAAGGAGGTAGTATAAGGGGTTGTTGGTGCTTTTAATCAAGAATTTTTTCTCTCCACATCTCAAGGCTCTGTGTTGACGGCAGTTGTAGTAGAGAGAACTTTATTCCCATAACTTCCAATTAAAGCATTTGAGCCTCAAGCATGAAAACTCTCAGAATTTAGCTCAACACTCAAAGCCAGCCAGGATGGAACAAACATCCAACAAACCAAAAAGTTTTTCTGCTATGATTCAGCCTTTTTTTTTTTTTTTTTTGGTAGCCAACTAAAATTGTCTCTCAAGAAGTATTTCAGGAGTTTAAATTCACAGAGGTGAATACATAGAGATGCAAGTGCAATGAATTCCTCGCATCCAAAACCAGACATTTCACAGTTTTGCTGGTAACCACATAGACAATGCTGACATCACCTTTTCTTGCTTACAGGTAGCCATTTTGAGGTCTTACTTGTACATATGAGCAAGCGAACCCAAATTCTGACAGCAGAATTGAGGCATAGACTCTAAATATTTAGCACATTCCTTGGTTGCCAACTCGTAATGACAAATTATACAGAGACAGCAGGAGTTCCCAATCTTAGCCTAGAAACACACAAGCATTATTATTATTTAAAAAAAAGCAAATAAGACTACCAAATAATAGCAAACCTCACTTATCAAATGGCTAATATTATCTCATTCTGCAGTTTTAGCCAGCTCTCCCCAGTGATCTGCCAAATAAATACCATTCTTTGTTTCATCCAGATTGATCCTCAAATCAGTCTGCCCTCCACCCAGTTTCTATCTTCTGAGACACTAAATGTATCATTCCAGCACATTAGTGTAATTGCCTATAATAGAGATGTGCAGTTAGAGGTAATTTACATGCACATACGCCTAACAGTGCCCTCACATACTCATTGAGCGTAAGGGATGGCAGGTAGAACCTTGTGAATGAGTTAGATGAGCACTTCCTCATTATTATTCTCAATGTATTGCTTAAAAGAAAAAAAAATAAAAGGCACAAAACGACAAAACTGACGTCAACATCATCTCCATGCACTTCTGCAAGGTACCACATTTGCACAATCACTTTCAGTACGAGGACCAGCTTTGCTGACAGAACACCACAGAAGAGCTTCAGTGGTTAGTTCCATGGGTACAGGCCCTGCAGTTCATGGAAGCCTAAAATGATCAGAGTAAAGGCAACATGAAGACTTCAATAATGTCTGAACCTGATTGTCCGTCATGTACTTGCTCCAGCGTTCCTTACTCAGAAACAGAAGATTCAGTATATAACTGGCATGATTTTCTGCATAAAAATGCTCATAAAATCCTCCAAATACCCTCCTCAAGGTCTCCAGGTATAACAGAATCTACAATCCGTCACAGACTGAAAATGTAGACAGGTAGAAACAGAAAATCTAGCATTTTAGGATGCAAATTTTTATATTTATTTATTAATTCCACTGTCTCAATATCCCGTACTGCTTTTATATTTAAAACATGTAGTCTACTTCCTCTTCCCAGTTCTCCATGCGTTTTTTCTTTGGCACATTGAGCTCGCTCTGACACACACATAATAATGTGGTATTCTGAGGCAAGTAAAAAGTTAGTTCAGGAGCTGAAATCCCTGAATCCGATTTTAAACCTGACCAGATTTTACTTTTGATTTCACATAGAGCATTTACTCCATTGAGTCACAAGGCTGAAAATAAACCAAACCAAATAAACCAAATTTAAGATACAATTTTGAGCAGCTGAGGTTTCTCTTTTATACCTCGCTGAGTAATTTGCAATGTAAAACTTCTGTCATAGAAGATCTTCATTCAGTGATTTTTTTAATGGATCTTGCTATTCAGGAAGAAAGAAACCAAAAGCCTATCCTAGAGGAGGCGTAAGGCAGACTGCTGCTGCTGAGAACCCACTCTGGATTGTCAGGTGCTTTTCTAGCCAACCTTCAGAAAGTGTATGCCCAACATGATTTTAAGTCTTCCTTTGCATCACATTTTTAAACCCCATCCCCACCAGCAGTTCTCTTACGGCAGGATCATCTCTCTCTCACACTATAGAATACCCCTTGAAGTGGGGAAGAAATCTTTGCAAAACATCCTTCAAACTCTACGGGAGGCTTTGGTGTCAATACACATCCTAAGCTAATTTCTTCTCCCTATTCCTGTAGGGACACTCCATGGAGGAGATGT